ATAGATAGATAGATAGATAGATAGATAGATAGATAGATAGATAGATAGATATTTGTGTGTGTGTGTGTGTGTGTGTGTATGTATTGTGTTTATTTATATATAAATAATAATATTGTGTTTATTTATATATAAATATTTGATGGGAGATTAAGCAGATGATGGCCTATAGAAATTATGATCAGGATCATCCAGAAGGTTACATGGATTTATGGACATTAGATTATTTCTGTGAAGAAGTATACACAACCCAATTGTAGTGGATATACACTTCAGGGTAGAATTAGAAGGAACAGCTTTGAATTGGCAGCATTTGGGAGGGAGGGCGGTTTTTTATAAGATCAGTTGGAAAAGATCACATCCAGCATTATTTTTTGGGGAAAAAAACAACACTGTCAAAACAAGAAAAAAACAAGTAATCTGACAACCAATCCCCACTTCATATCAAATCTGAAAATGTTAAAATATACATTATTTTCAAAGGCCAAAACTGACATTTGGAATTAGATTTTTGTAAGCTTAGTTTTTATTCTTTATATAAATGGGAGACTCCCAAAATTTTGGGGAGTATTTAAAACAAATGCTTTCTCAGCGAGAGAACAATAGGTCTCACTCTACTGTTATGCCTCCTACTCTAATCTCTTTTTTTCATAGAGAGTTTCTTATGATGTCTTTATCCTAGACATCTTAAACTTTAATTGTTCAACATACTTTTCATGTCATAAATCCTTAATCCTTTTGGAAGGACATCAGGTGAGAACAGTCATAAGAATTCTGTAGATAAAAATCCAGCCAAAGTTGAAATAGAAATAAACCTGATGCTTAGTGTTCCACTGGAATTAAGAGTCAGACTATTCAAGAATTATTGTAATTTGAATCCTATCCTTGTACCTTCAATGAGATCAAATTCTAGTGCTTTATTAATCACATGGCAGAAAATCACAGAATCACGGAATTGGAAGGGATTTTAAGGTTATCTAATCCAATGCTTTGTTCAATGTAGGATCTACAGAGGTGGTCTAATAGATGACTATTTGGCTTCTATTTCATGATTTGTGCGGGGGAGGAAAAATGTGCCACTTTGTGTGGTGGCTTGTTCCACAGGCTAAGAATTTCTACTATCAGGAACATTGTCCTGCCATTCTTTCTTCATTTTAGTACTACTACTACAACTATACTTCTACTACGCTTTGTGAGAAACAATCATATTTGAAAACTGCCATTATATCTCTCCTTAGTTATACATAACCATTAAACCAATCATAACAGAGCTTGATTTTCAGACCCTCACCCTCTACCTTGGTAACCCTCCTCTAAACTCACTCCAATCTGTCATTGTCCTTTTTTATATTTGATGCCCATAAATGAATCCCAAAGATGTGTCTACCCATCTTTCTGTGGTTCTGCAGAACAAAAAAATGGTATACATCACACTATGTTGTTGGATTGGAGGAACTCAAACTGGCATTCTTTTTTTAAAAATCCACTTGTTTTCTTTGAAAACATTCAGCAGTTCTGCTGTTTACATTCAGCAGTTCTGCTCTATTGTTTATATTTGAGCTTAGGCCCCTGACAAATGAGGTGGTGTTTCAAAAGGTGTCTTTTACTGGAAATTCTTCCAACTATTTCAAGACCTAACTTTAATATATATTTTGGAATGTGCTATTCCAAATTTACTGAGTATTTGTTGACAACAACTAGAAAATGCATGGTCTAGCTGAATCCCAGTGTAATTAGGCAATTAGGGCTATAAACTTAATTTTTAAACGTTCTGTTAAATAAGAGCAAAGAATGGTTGAATAATCTCAGAAAAATAAATTATTAAATAGTTTACAAAGGAAGAGAAATATAGGTTTTTTTTCCAATTAGTATAAATGAATTAAGGTCCTTTGACTGGCATATCATCCCTTTCATCCCAAGAAGCCAAGGGATATTAACATGAAAATTGAATGGCTCCAATCCACTGTTTTCTTGCTAGAAATATCTAAATGACATCACAAGTCTTTTGATTGATTCACTTTGGACAAAATTAGGCATCCAGAAGCCTTTTTATAGAGAAATTCCCATTAATAACCTCTGATATGATTGTATTATTATGACTAGTCACATAGTAAGCCAGATGTTTAGACCAGATTTGGCATTTTCGTCTACCTATCAAGTCCTTCCCAAGGACCTGGGATAAGCAGATGTTTAATAATCTTAAAGGTAATGTTGCAGGATGTAAGCTGTTCCAAGTAAAGTTGCTTTTTGAAATGGACTTATGGTGATTTTGACAGTGCAGATGGTGTTCAAGTAGTGATCCAAATGTTTTGATATTATTATTATTATCTCATGGATATATTCAATCTCATAAACTAAGCTATTGTGGGGCATTCAAAACAGTCAGTGCAGAGTACAGTACCTTTTCCTATATTTTTAAAAGTAACCCTGGAATTTCTTAATAATAAAACATATGGTTCCATGAACATGTATTCATCTGCTTTGGATTTAATGAATGTTTGCGTATCTTTGCCATTTTGCCATCAGAGGTAAAGTTCCACTAATATACAAAGTCTGGCTGAAGTTTTTGTACTTCTTGAATTTATTTCAAAAAGAAAGTAACCTGTGTGAAAAACTAATCCCCCTAGTTAGATTCAATTAGATTCCACCATTAGCTGTAATAACTGAAACAAAATATTTGTGAAATTAGTGATAAATCTTTTATTTTATTTATTTATTTTTTATTTTATTTTCCCTTTATTTGTATGCCGCCCTTTTCCCTGGGGGGACTCAGGGCGGCTCACAGTTAAAAAAANTCTCTTGAGCTTGGGAATTGTATAAGCGAATGCAGAGCATCAATTTATTATTAAAAATCCAGAAGGAAATAATCACACTTCCAATAATCAAAACACTGGTGCAGTATAGAAATATTTCAAGGTAATAGCATGTTTGAATATACACAGTTGTTCTCTCTTCTCTAGAAAACAGGCACTTAAAATATATACCTCCCCCCAAATTTAGAATATGTATTCTAAATATGGTTAGCATACAAACTGAAAGCTTACACTGCTGATGCTGGAGCTTAAGGTTCTCAGCCACAATTCATTTAAAAACTTCTATTCAGTTGTTTGACTATATATTATAGAGTGATGAAAATTAAATACAATGAACGGAAGCTGTTCCAGCATTATAAAAATAAATTAAACAGCTGCAGAATTTATGATCAATCTATTAGCTTTATAATTCACAAGCCAAAGCATTCCACTTTATAGGGTCTGATACTGTGCTGCAGAGAGTAGTCTACCTGCCTCGGATTGTGCAGACTACTATTTTGACAAGATCTGGATAGCAGTAGGTCCAAAGCAATCAGAAGGTTGACTTTGACAAATGGAGGTGCTGCAGCGAAGTTGAAAATAACACACATCCACTTTAATCTCTTTCTTGATTAAATCGAAACCATACCATTCTGACATCATGTGATTTGCTCATGAAGCATCACTGCAGGTTACTTTAAAGGCTACATCTATTGAAATGATATTGAATTTTTAGAGGAAGTACTTTAATTCATTCAAATGAAACCATCACAAAGTAACCCTACCAGTCACCAACCGCACAGCTTCCCCCCAAAAATAAATAAGGTCTATAGAACCTTTTAAAAAATAGCTTAAAAAATAAAAAAGGAAATGAATAATAATAATAATAATAATAATAATAATAATAATAATAATAATAATAAATCCCTTTTCTAATCTATTGGATATAGATTTTTTTTCAGACTGCTTATTTTTTTTACCTTCAAAGAATAAAAAAAAAATACATGTGTCAAGTACGTTCTAATCCTTTCACCATTCTCATCGTCAAATTCCAAAGGTAAACATTTCAATAGATAATAAAAATGCAAAAGATGAAATTGTCTTTCTTACACGAGACTAGGCAAATATTTATGGGGCAGTTGACAAACTCCTGCCTAGTAAAGGAGCCAACACTGAGAGCAATTACCCTGATATTCATGACTCACTTTGAATATCACATTGAATATTACTCATAAATCTTTTACGAGCACATCCCCAGAGCTCACTTAACAGCCGGTTTTAATCATGCAGTTGACACAGAGAAAATAACAAAATGTATTTTTTCAGTGGCAAATTAATTTAGCCTTGAACCTCCTCCTGAAGCTGTATTTTTTTTCATTTTTTTTTCTGTCTAATACTGAGCACAGATAAATTCACCTTAAAGTTTTGAGGTTCCAGAATGTTAAAATAGAATAAGTTTCTTTTCAAGAATTATTTGGCAAAATTATTTATGCCATGAACCAATTAGTTTAAGAACTTTGAATTCTTACTAATTTCTAATGAACTTCAAGAACATGCTTATTTCTTGAATTCTCGATTAAAGGAATGCCCCCACAACAGAAGAAGTCTATCAGTATTATTTTGCCTTAAAATATGACAGTAGGCAATTAGAGTGCTATTTTTAAAGGGATGTAAACAATGTGTTATAATCTGTTATCATAACTCTGTTATAATCTTAAAAGGATCAATTCCACATGTAATATTAAGAAGTATTTTTTTTCTGTACAAAAGAATTTTGAAGAAGACAGAAACTAATATAAATTCTATGACCAAGGATAACATATATATTCAGTGCAAAAAACCTCTGAGGATGAAAGCAACTTGCCTTATAGTTCTTACTTAATTAATTTTATTTATACCCTGCTTTTCCTCCAAGAACTCAATGTGGAATATGCAGTATAACCTTAATAATTTTTCCCTACAACTGGAAATTTTTTTGAGATTTAAAAAGCTGCCTTTTTAGTAATTTAGTAGTACGTTTTAGTTGTGTATCATTGAGCTTAAATATTTTTTAAATTACTTACGTACTGATCCATCTTGTTCTTGTAGAAATCTTTCTAACACAATTCGAGCCATAAGTGATGGGGCAAAATCCACCTTAAAAGAAAGATAAACTGTAACCAACTTTCATTAAAATGTGGTTTTATTTCATCACTTAGATCAATAAAGAGGTGTCAAGGATGCATCCTCCATTATCTCAGTCATCCTTTCTGAAAGGTACATTTCTCTGACACGATAAGAATTATGCTATAATCTGATAAATAAATCTTTTTCACCACAACATACAATGTTATATGCAATCATTGCAATGTATGGACTTGGATTTCAATTGTAAAACATTCAACATAATAGTTCATTTTAACTGATTTGTGTTTATTACATTGTTTGAAATGATCATGGACAAGATTAAATAACATGTTTAACATTTACATAGTAGAAGTGAGACCTGAAACAAAAGGTTGCAGTATGACTTCATTAATTCACAGTGTCACTTAGCTGACTCCTTTGGCATACTCTGTTCCTTCTGCCCATGCATGTTTTCAACATCAACTAAATTACTTTGTGGTTGAGATTGCTCAGTGCTCCTTCTTGGTTGGTGCTCTGTTTATCTCATTGTGAGGAAGAGGAGAGATTGTATTTTTATTTATTAGCTCTTTTATTTAGGTTGAGGACCAGAATTTGCTACTGCAATATGATTACAATACTACATCCCCCAATTTGGTCTCCTCTAGATGGACATCATTACATGTTGTACCCCAGTGAAGTTCTTTAATAACAAAATACTGTCTCAAATAAAAAAGAAATTTTAATTTATTTTTCCAATAGAGCGATTATAAATTTAAAGGTTACTACATTATACATTGTACACAACCCACTGAAATTTTGTGATTTATGTAGACAAATTTTGTGCAAAGCTAAACGCATCAAGAATGTCTACAGCTTATTTGTTTGGAAAACTAAGGGAATCTTTAAAATATTTAATTTTTTTAATTGGTAATGATAAAAATCCAGATATATAGGCACTATTATATCTAGTTCAATCACTTTCTATAGTATATCCTAAAGGTTATGAGAAAAAAATGAATATACAGAAACATGGATTCTCAAATATACTTAGGAAATGAACGTCTATTTAAAAATAACTACTACTTCATTGTTAAGGTTTACATTGATTAAACAGTGTGAAATATACTCTTGACCAGATGCCAGACTTTCAAGGAAAATAACTGCAAATGATAACATTCATTTTTTTGTTTTATGTTTTAAAATATATTCAAAATTATTATATTTGGGGAAACAAAACTTATTTTGATTTCTACATGCTTTTTCCCTAAATATATATGTACTTTGAGGCACTGAATTTCCTCCTAATAGAAAGAAATGCTTTTTACAAAGAATTGCTTATTTCTGGTAGCTCACATCAGAGCTGACACATGAAAAATGGTGAAATTACTGAAGGTAGACCAGCCAGAATAAGGACTACCTTATTAGTTCAGGTACTTGCATCTTCCTAATTTTCATATTAATCATGAACCCATCTTTGTCTGAAATAGGGCCATCATGCTTTATGTCAGAATGTAACATGTAAGTAATATTCATAGTGCTTCAAATCTCACTAGAAAATATTTGGTGAGAATGACTAATTTTATTTTTAATACATATATGAGTTGCTTTCATTTAAAAAAAAACCTGTAATTTAAATTATGCAATGATCATATTTACTCTTTTTAATAGTTTCAGCATCTCATAAAAATACAAGGCACTATTCTGATTTAGCATATTATATAATGTAATGCATATTATATGTTTCTGATCAATTTTTACAGCAATCACTGATTGACTCAAAGTGTTACAATTATACTGTTGATCAGCAGATGGAGGAATTTGTCATTTAAATATTAACTACCACATAAAATGGCAGCTTGATTGTGTAGAAATAGATATCACATGTTTGATATTCCCATATTTCCCTAATGTGCTAAAATTGATTACAAAAATATACATTTCCTATATATCTGCATGTACTATTAAACAGTTATTTCAACATTTTAAGCTTTAAAGTTAAAATTTTTAAATCATTTTATTTATTTCTAAATTTACAATTTAAGAAGCCATAAGTGTATGAATTGCTATGATGTTTTATCATAGTATCTGAATAAAGAAATGCTTTATGTACCAGAATTATTTGTTAAAAATGGTGATTGAAGGGGGTGGCGGCTAATGGCAAGTAAGACTGTAGACATTATATATTTATGTGCCTATCTAAGACAAGGTGCTTATTTAGAACAATATCTATATATTGTATTTGATTTAATAATATTTTTGTACAAAATAAACTACAATATGTCAGAAATTACAAGAACCATCCCTTTGGTATCAGAACAATCTTTTACATTTGGTAGTGTATGTATACATTTTAAAGACCATTAAAATCATCCAGTATCTGGTAGATAATTACCCAGTTATAGGCTGCAGTAGTGTAAATTAGACAGAAGCTTACAGAAAAATCATACTTCCTAATGTAATGAGTAGAGCTTGCTGTCCAGGTCCATTTATTACTTTTTGGGGGGGTAGGTGGGTTTACTACAGTTATTAGCACTTAGAATAAATAAATCCAGTGCATTTATTATAATCTTACAAAACTATTTGCAAACAAATTGTAATATTAAAATCAAATAATGTGATACTGTTACTATATATAAACATGTTACAAATTTTAAAAGATTTTGGGAAACCATATAGGAAATTTATAAAGTTTCTGTGCCTACAGTAGCAAAAAAATTTCTCCAATGTATTATGCATGTTAAAGCAACCTTCATTCTGGTAGGCTTACGCAAACATTGGTTTGTCTCAGTGAGTCTATTGGTGACCTGGCTAATATTTCAGGAAGCCATATTGCACTTAAACTAAGCTTCTATTTTTTACTAACTATTTGCATTGACATGAATGTTTCATCCCAAAAATGCAGGAGTTTTTTTTAAATTAAATGTGGATAACAACAATATAAAAAATTCACACTATATTTCTTTAAACTCTGATGTCCATAAGGAACAATTTCATTAATATTAAACATATTTTCCCATTACATCCTATATTAAAAATATTTTAAAAATAGAAAATAAAGGAAATTCATTTTATTGTAAAACCATAGTGTACATTAATGATATTTCTATAAAAACAAAACAAGCCAATTTCCTCAGAAACTCAAATGCTTGTTGCTGAAAGTGAGCCATGCATGCAAGGCAACTGTGTGTGTCTCTGTGTGTGTGTATATGTGTATGTATGGAAATTACACAAATATATTCAAAAGGTAATATGCTGGTTATCTTAATTGATTAATATATTTGTTTGCCCTCCTACTACAAGCAAATAAACATTTTAAATATATGATGTGCCCTAAAACTACATACTTCTTAATACTTCTTAAAAACCTCTACAGATAAGGATCTTACATTTTAAGAAAAAAACTTTTTGAAAATTATTACCTCATTTGCCAGTTCCAATAATACAGGAGAAGCTGCATTTTTAGACACACCTTTCAGATATCTGGACAAGAAAAAAATGAAAAGCTCTTGTAGATTCAATGAAAAGGCCAGCAATGAAGACTTACTACCTCTCTCTGTCTCTCTTGCTCTTGCTCTGCCTCTCCCATTTTCACTAGGGCAAGAAATAAATTGAATACAGAGTATATGTATAAGTAGCTTAAGTTATAAATATTTGGAAAGCTGTCCTTAATCTCAAAGTCTAAGCAAATCAAAAGTACAATTATCACTAAAATTCTGAAAGGAAAAAAAGGAATATTACACTGACAGAATACAGAACTATTGTTTTTAGGTTTCTGAAGGTGTACTCAATATTTGGCAATGACAGAAATGAGTGACATATCTTCCCCATGAACTTCTCTCTATCTCTATCTATCTATCTATCTATCTATCTATCTATCTATCTATCTATCTATCTATCTATCTATCTCCCCTCCTCTGGATTCACTGGGAGGTTTATAAAATTTCCCTCCTGTGCATACAATCCTTCAGCCTAACTCACTCTATCTCT